TGTTTCTACAGTTGATGAAATTCCTACTCATGTTGTATTGCAACAATTTGACAATCCACTGTCAAAGAAGTTAAATGAAGTGGTGAATGAGATTCGGCGGCAAAGATTTTGTTACCTCCGGCTTAAGCTCTGCAGGAAAGGTGATCCATCAAGAATGTTATTCTTCTCGTATGATTGAAGACAAGACCACAACTAGCTTTGAAATGAGAATTGCCAATCTATTATCCCCGCAAAGTACATCCATTTCTAGAGTTAGTGCAACATCGGTAAAAAGCAAGAAGGTTGCCTTTGAGTGTTCTTCGGATGGCTGTTCGTTCAGTGTACGAACCCAATGAATATCCTTCTTCAATGCAGAGGCTCTATCAATGGACGCCGTATAAAATGAATCATACATCCTTTTTTTTTAACACATGAAAGAGGAAGATGAAGGCTCCTCAGGATATCAAGACTTGCCTCTGAAGATATTGCAAGGGACATATTTTCTGTCGGTTGTCTCTTGGCAGAATTTCATCTTTGCAGGCCACTCTTTGATTCTATCTCATTGGAAATATACTTGCCTAGATGGAATGTTTGCAGCCAGTTGGTACAAAGTCGGTGTATGAGAAAGATTTTAATGCTTTTTCATACAAATATATTGCTGTTCTTGTAGCCAGTTTTGCAGTAGCAAGAAATATGCAACGGTCTGAGGTTGACAGGCGCGCTTATGTGGATATAGTTACTCGACATCGAATCAGGACTGGGGCCATGGAATATGCCTGCTGCTTGGAGCATTGGTTCTTATAGCACATGAAAGCAAACTCGGCAATCAGCGACTGGGAAGCTTTATGGAGATGCTATATGGGATGCACATACTACTGGCTTAGTAAAATACAGAGAACCATACCCATTCGGTGTAGATCCCAGCTGGCGTGGAAGTCGTTCTGAATTACCTTTTTTGAACTCTCTCAAGATGAAGATGTCCATTCAATTTGGTGTTGTTGCAGCTACTCATCGAGGGCATGATGCAGTTGTCACTGCTTTGCTTTGTAATTCTCCCATAAGTGGACCTTTAGAGTCAGTGTCCTCTGGTGGGAAAGACAAAACCAAGAAACCTGGCCGCTATGACTTGATAGGGCTGGACCCTACGAAACAGTTTTTACTTCACATAGCAACTGGAGCTGAAGTTGAAAGAGATCTTCGAGTTCAGAAGAGCATACTCCGTGTTGTTGGCCAGGTAGAAATAAGAGCTGATGCCCACTTGTATGCATTCAAAAGATCAGTTCTAGATCAGAAGTGTGAATTTAATAGCTTAAAACATGATGTATTGCCATATCTCATCCGTAGCACATTGAAGGTTAGCAAGCCGACTCTAAAGACACGGGCATTTCAAGAGGCTTGTGTTTTCTCTGTGGTTGACGAACTTGCAGAACACCTCACACTATGGAGTTATTCTGTTGCGTTCGTGGATTTGTCTTTTATTCCAATTGTAAGGTTGCGTAGCTTTTGCAAGTTGACCAAAGTTGAGAGGTTTCTAAGAGGCCAATTTGAGACAGCTTGATGATAAAGATCCCTCTGCCACCAGTTGAACAAAAGAAAAAAGAAAAAGGCATGCCAAATGAGTCCACGTCACGTACTTGAAACTGAGCTGAAATCAAAAAGCAGAAGTCCACGTCACGAAAGCAAAACGACATGAAGATTTTTTCAGCAAAAGGTCACGCATAACTTGCAACCAAAACGCAGTGAAAATTTCAAAACGGCAAATTATTTCTCACTCACTCTCATCTATAAATACCACACATACCTCATTCATTTCTTCAAGCTTGAAAAGCCAGAAAACTTCTGCAGAAATATGACCCCAACCTTCAATCACCTTCAAGTTTCATTCAATTAACCTTCATAATCCTTGAAAATTCATCAACATTATCCTTCATTTTTTTCTTTAACCATCACCATCAAAACCGGATTTCACCTTCGCATCTCACAAATCGCAGCAAATCTTCATCAATACAACACATCTTCAGAAACGTGAAGAAGAAGAGAAATTCAATCGTCATTCACTTCAAATTGAAGGTAGTTACCGGTTTCCGTCGAAACTTCGTCTTCTGAACGTGCTTCTATATTTGAGTTTCGTTTGAAATTGAGAGCATATTTGGAGTCTATTTTGCATTTCGATTGCAACCGCGTACTTTTCGTGTCCCGCCGCTCCGATCTGAGAGAGCACCGAAGCGTCCATGTCCGTGACCGGTGTCGCGTGTAAAAAATGAAGAAGATGATAATTCTGTTTTTTTTTTTCGTTCTCTGTTTTCCTTTTCATTTTTATTTTTTATTATTTCAATTTTTCTTTTTTTCTATTTTTTATTATTATTTCTCTTAAGATTTTGGGCCATGAGGCCTTTTCACATCATCACCATTTCTTTTACTTTAAAACCTCCTTCTCTTTTCAATTTTTCTTTAGTTTTCTTTTTTTTCTTTCTTTTGATTTTTTTTAGTTCTTCTTCTTCTTATTTTTCTTTTGATCGATGAAATCTATGGATCATAGATTGTTGATTATCAAGGTTGATTAATCTTCATTATTTCAAAACTATGGACGAATAATCATTGAGATAATTCTCCTTACTTTGGAATAGTGATAGATTACCTTTGATTAATTAATTAAAAATCTTGATTATGATTAGATCACTACCTCTTTTCTTTTTGTGTGGCATGTTTTAGGAGAGTGATTTACATATCATTTCTCTAACATGTATTAACACTAACATTTTATTGACCGGCCTCAGATAGTCGTGGTTTCTACATAAACCCGATTACGATTGCTTAACATAGCGCTAAAGTGTCCCTTAATCGGAAAATGATCATTCGTGGCTCAAACTTACGTTTAAAAGTCCAAGTATGTTTAGTTGCTTGTCTTAACTCCAATACCTATGAAAATCATTGTTAGGAGGCTTTGATTCTATCAATCCTCTAATGAATTTTCATTAATCTTGGTCTAAGTGCAAGAATTAATCATCATTGATCATATGTTCTAACCACTAACCACTAATTCACTAACAATATCCTTGTTTAATTTTGTTTATATTCTCTTTTTACTCCTTATTTTTTACTTTTATGCTTCCATTGTATCATTTCATACCATATCTTTGTTTATGTTTATGTCATTTTTCTTTTGTCCACTTGGACCATACTTTGTTCAAAACATTAATAAAGGATAAAACATCTAAAAATTTGGTGCTATTAACTTTGTGGTTATACTCTTGGACCATTCTTAGACTTTGGACTTCATGGACATTTTGGACTTAGGATTAGGACTTTCTTCCCTATGCTTGGAGTATTTTGAATCTTAGCCTTTATTTGGCTCGATCATTGGCTTATGCTTTAAATCGGATGGAACTCTTTTTGCTCGCTTTGGAGTGTGCTACAAGTTGGTTAGATCTTTCTTATCTCTGGCTCTTATTTTGTTTTTTTTTAGGATAGTCACTTCATCTCCTCCCCTTCTTAAATTTTCAAAACTTTCTCCCTCTTTCAAAACCTTCTTGGTTTCAAACTTCAAAACCGCTTTCGCAATAAAACCTTGACTTTCGTCAAGTGATTTTTAAACTTTGTTTTTTTCTTAATAAAAGTCAATCAATGTTAATCATGTTTTGACTAATTTCAAAAGACATAAAAAATACAAAAACTCATCAACTCTTTTTGTGCCTTTATGCACTTTTTCACTTTAAAACTTTTCATAAAGTTTAGACATGATTCATTTCTATAGTTGAGATGTAAATCTCCTATTCCCCATATTATTAAGACTTTGACATTTTCCACGTTGATGTTGAGTGATAGTCTTGTTGATAATCCAAGCAAATCCTCCATCTTTATGTGACGCAAATGTTGTTTTAATACTCGTGGGTGGATAGTCGCAGTTTTCTCCTTGAAATGACGACTTGTCTTTACATCTAAAATCAATCAAAACCAACAAAAATTTTGTCATTTGTACCACGAACTACGGGGTTTTGATTCCATATTGCACTTTATGGGTACGTAGGCATGAGACGATAAGTCTCTCCAAACACAAAAATCTAAAAAAAATATTCTCTTCTCATCTCCCCAATCTCTTTTCAAACAAACCACTTTCAAACCAAAAAGCGTAAATATTTCAAAGGGCTCCTATAGAGTACTATAGACGTTTTGGGTGCTAACACCTTCCCATTGCGTAACCAACCCCCTTACCCCGATCTCTGTCTCGTGTTCTTATTTTAGAACTCTTTGGTTTTGTTCGCTCTTTTTCCTTTCCTTTATTTGGATAAAATAAAAGTGCGGTGGCGACTCTTGTTTTCTTTGAGTTAAGTTAGTCAATAACTTATACTCACGATTTTTACCGCTACACCATCCAATTTCATTTTCCTAACTCTTTTCCAATTTCTAACATATAACAGTACTTATTAATATGTGAATTCATTCATAACAATACTTAATTACTAAGTTATCCATACATACACATTTGCAATATATGTACTTAATTACTTAATTACTAATATATAACAGTACTTTATAAGAGTACTATATTACTGACTTATATTACTAACTTATTAATATTACTAATATATAACATATATAACAATACTTATATTTTCAATTTCTAATATATAACAGTACTATATTACTAACTTATTAGTATTATTAACTTATTACTAACTATGTTACTAACTTATTAATATTACTTAATTAATATATAACAGTACTATATTACTAACTTATTAATATTACTAACTTATTAGTAACTATGTTACTAACTTATTAATATTACTAACTTAATTAATATATAACAGTACTATATTACTAACTTATTAATATTACTAACTTATTACTAATTCTTCATCATAACAGTACTAACAACATACTTACTAACTTATTAACAGCATACTTACTAACAGCACTAACGGTACTAACAACATACTTACTAACTAACAGCACTAACAGTACCAACAACATACTTACTAACTTATTAACAGCATAATAGTACTAACAGCATAACAGTCCTACATACTTACTAGAGTTTTGTCATCTCTCCAATACTCCAATAACTTTCTAAAATCTTCTTCTGGTACCTCTTGTGGACGATTTTTTAGCTGCTCGCGCAAGGTTTTATACTTGCTAAAATGCTTCCTTTTAAGCGAGCATTTGTATTGTCTCCAAGCATCATTTGTAATAGCAAATACAGCCTTCTTTCCTTCCTTTGGGATATTGTATTTTTCCTGCAAAAATATATATTTAGAATATTATATACATTAAAGTATGTTAAAAAAACACAAAATCAAATAAAAAACTAATTACATTTACATAATCCCACACGGGATCCAAATTGTGTTCCTCCCAATGCTTGACCAAATCAATCCAACTAGTGAAAGTGAGAGGACATAAATCTGAACTTCTTCCTAGTGTCCCCAAAAAACTATTGAGTTCAGAAACTGTCTTTTCATCTGGCCCAATTGGTTGTCCTTCTTCATTCAAGGTGATCTCTTGTCTATCTTTGAATTGTCGTCCATGAATTTTTCGACATAACGTCTTTCCCCGCTTTTTTGTTAATCTTGAGGATGAAGTACCTAAGGTATTACCTTCAGCTTTGTTTACATCTGTTCCCTCAACTTCCTTAACATTATGGATGCTATCATTCTCCATATATTCTTCCATTTCATTTTCTTCTGTATCTTCATCGTCGAATTCCTCAACTCCAACTTTTTCCTTATTTTTATCGAGACATTCGGTAAGGGGCATGGTTGGACACTTTAGAAGACTTTTTTTCTTCTCAAAGGGTTGTTGAGACTTGTTCATAGTATTGTTAAGACTTTGCAAAATCTGAATGTAAAAGAATAATTAGCTTCATATCAACCAATAATAATTAAAAATTCATTTAAGAAATCAATACATTACTATAAGAGGTTGTCCCCATTATTAGAATTAGAAAGTACTATAAATTACCTTTTTGGTTTGATCACTGGTGTTCTTTGAGACTTGTGATTCTATTGAACCTTTAACTTGTTGATCCACCGTTGAATTCAATTTCTTTTTAGTATTATTATTCAGAGCAAGCACTTTTCTTGGCTCAATAATTTTCTTTGTAGCCTCTACTTCCATTTGCCTCTTATTACTATTGAGAACATGCACTTTGCTCGGCTGGGCAACTTTATTAGAAATTTCTACTTCCGATTGGCTTCTAATGTTACTATTCGGTACAAACACTTTGCTTGGCTCAACCATTTTCTTAGAGACTTCTACTTTCAATTTCTTTCGATGGTCCAGCTTTTGAATGTTTCCAACATTGGTGTTTATAGGATTGCTTCCTTGATTTGTTGGGTTGACTTTTAAAGCCTTTTCATTTTCAACCTTGATTTTTATCTTCCTCTTTAAATCCGTGCTAGACTTAGCTTGGAAATCAAACACAAAATCGTTTCGGTTCTTCATTTTCCTGCAACAGAAAGTAAAAACAATTACATGGAGAAGCAGAGGGCAAAGTTTGTTACCAAAAGCATACAAGATCTGTACAATTGTGAGATATGATTCATGGGCTCCAAACATTAAAAATATGATATAAAAGATCAGTGAATACAGTGATACTGAACAATAAATACTGCTGCTGCTAATTAGTGCTTTGAGTAAATACAATTACTGCTGCTGCTAAATACTGTTGCTGCTAAATAATTACTGCAGCTGCTAATTACTGCTGCTGGTTTGACATTATAAATTCATAGTGTGGGACATATAACACCGTTGAGTTTAACTTCACAATATAGCCATAACATACAACACATAATCCTGTGAAATCAGAATAGAATATTACAAAACAATATTGATGATAATTGTTACACGCAGCACAAGAATTTGGTGCATGCATGGGGCCTACATAGATAGACACTAAAGAGGAAGAGTAGATAAGAGTATAGCAGCCAATATATATGTTGTTAAGGCAACTGAATTGAATTTTGTAGCAAGTTGGATAAAAACTGCCTACTCAATTTGACTGTAAACTGCAATTCAGATTGTACACATTAAGTTACTGATAACGACGGTCCCCATAAGTGTACGTCCATATTCAACATTATGTTTATTTTTTATATTCTAAACAAACCTTGAGAAGGAAATATCAATTTTAAGACATGCAATTCAGATTGTATACATTAAGTTACTGATAACGACAGTCCCCATATTCAAGCTTTAAGGCCAACTAAACAAACCGTGAGAAGGAAAGATCAATATAAATCTGCCACACATTTTCCAAATCAAAAGTAATCATTATTCTCCTTCATTTGTTTTCATCAGCTATCACTAACACCAAATCAAAAGTAAGCATTATTCTCCTTCATTTGTTTTTCATCAGCTATGCGTCTATATAAATTAGAAACACACAACAATTGTTTTGGCACGATATTAGGATTTTAGTTAGGAAATTGGGTGATCATAATATTACAGGAAATTGGCACGATATTAGAATTAGCTAACCATTATAAAGCAACGAAATAAGAAGCAATTACGTGATTATAATACACATATTATATTACAGGGAAATATATAATGGAAAGTGTAGAAGCAAACAACATGGCAGTGACATTGGCTTTCATTGATGATGCTAATAAGCTTTCAAGAGAAGAAGACAACAGTGACAGACTTTATATCACTTAGTGCATTGGTGAAACAGATACTGATTTGGATGCAATTATTTCTCGCTATGCACACACTCTAAACAGATACTGACTTGTGCTTCATTTTTCTATATCATTACTATCTACCAGTTCAATATTAATTAGCACAACTTATTAATATGTTAGCTAATTCCACCAGTTCAATAATACTAACAGTACTTATTAATTAGCATAATTTATTAATGTGTTAGCTAATTCCACCAGTTCAATACTATCTACCAGTTCCTAACTCTTTTCCAATTTCTAACAGTTCTAACAATTAGCAACTAGATTTACTAACAACATAACAGTATAATAGCATAACAGTTCTACTATAAATCAAACCAAAACTTATACCAATAAGTTTCACCAATGCATCCAACCCTTCATGATAATTAAAGTCAGCATAAAATATTCTCTCTTTAATTAACTTCCCTTGTGGAAACCAATTCCACATGTTTCCAACTACAATATATAAAGCCAATATTATGGTTATGCTTAATGGAAATGTTGTTTGCTAATCAAATTAAGGGTGCTGCCAATCAAGACCCAAGTATATGGGGGAAATTTAAAAATGAAAAAGAAAGGAAAGAAAGAAATTAATAATCATAATCCTAGTCAGATTTCAACTCTAACAGTGTCTCTTTATATCTTGTGGTGATATCATTGCTGACCAATAGTAAAATCTATAGCACACAAAAGACAAATACCTTTAAAGGGAAATTTATGAAAAGTCATTATCACCTAAAACAAACAGTTCATAATACACTGAACATGATACATAGCTGAACTATAATTAATTATCACCAACCACAAAGAATCGTTACACTAAAATGTCAAGAACCTTCAAAGAACCTTTTTCTAACTACTAAAGTTTTGAATTATTTATCATTATAGTTTTGAAATGAACCATACTTTTTGTTCTACTACAAATCAAACCAAAACTTATACCAATAAGTTTCACCAATGCATCCAACCCTTCATGATAATTAAAGTAAGCATAAAATATTCTCTCTTTAATTAACTTCCCCTGTGGAAACCAATTCCACCTGTGTCCAACTACAATATATAAAGCCAATATTATGGTTATGGTTAAGCCTAGGCAATATCATTCTCCTTTGTTAAACTTTTCAATTAAAGTGGCAAATTGTTCTTTTGGGTTTGACAATGCTTGTAACAAAAGATCTTGATATATAATGGGTGACAAAAGCACCGACCGTGTTATCTTGCTTCCATTTTTTCTGACTTGCTTTTGGTTATATTTCAATAGGATCAAAAGGCTAAAGAACCATCTGTTGCTGAATATATATCAGCACTAGCAGTTGGAAACAATGCACTATTAATGGTTGTTGCTTGTGCTGCTGCAACTGATTCAACTACACTTGCACTAATTGCCGCTGCTAATCAAACTAATGGAAATGTTGTTTGCTAATCAAACCAAGGGTGCTTATAATCAAACTAAGGGTGTTGCTAATCAAGTTGAGTTCATGATTGGAAAAGAAGCACAAGAATTATTGATATTACACAAAGCTGATTTTGTGGTAATTGATTGTAATCTTGTGAACCATGAGGAGCGTTTCAATCATAAAACCACACACACAAAATTTCTAACACACAACAGCAGCGTAGTACAAACTAGAAAGCCTCACTGAAAATTCATACAAAATTCACACGCATATAGGCAGAGTATATAGACACATCAAAATGACATTCACACTGAAAATCACAAGCAGAATTCATATGCAGAAAAAATCACAAAGATAATCAAATTATTACCTTTTTACCGGGATGAACCGAAAACTCGCACACCGCCGAAAACTCGCACACCGCCGAAAAATCGCACACTATTAAGTTTGAAAATTGAAACCTATGAAAACAAAACCGTTAGATTTGTCGGCAGAGAAAAGAGAAAGTTGAAGGAGAAGATTTACACACACAAAAGTTGAATGAGAGTCTAGCTACAACGAAGAAGAAGGAGAAACCTAGCTACAACGAAGAAGTAGAACGTAGAAACCTAGCTACAACGAAGAAGAAGGAGAAACCTAGCTACAATGAAGAAGAAGGACGCCGAAACCCAGCTACAACGAAGAAAATAAGGACGCCGAAACCCAGCTACAACGAAGAAGAATGAGAAGCTTTTGTGTTGAATAGGGTTGGGTTTGGGAGCACGATGAAGAAAGGATAGGGGTTAGGGTTAGAATCAATTTGGGATGAATGTCTCTTTTCTCTCTCTGCGTTAGAATCAATTTGGGAGGGAACTGAAAATTTTACATTGGTTTGGGAGGGACAATGAAAACTATACACATATGAGAACGGTTTAGTAAATAATATTTTATTAAATTAATTAAAAATTATATAAGAACGGCTCTAGTCGTTGCTAATAGGAGCCGTTCTCATTGTCCTATACAAGAACGGGTTTGAGCCGTTGTATAAAGTTTACAAAAAATTATATAAGCTACCGCAACAAATTATATAATTAGTTGCCTATTAGTCTCTACGAGAACAATTTTTTTACTTTCTGAAAATTAGGCGTTGTTATAGAGTAAAAATGTTGTAGTGTAAAATATCATTCAACCATGGTATCATTATGATTTGGGCAAAAGAATGCACCAAAATTGTCCTCATGGTTCACCATTTAGGTCATGCTCCAAATACCTCCAAAGGAGGGACTAAGCAAACCCAAATGGTGCTCCAAAGTCCTTGGACAGAGAGAGAGATGAAGGGAGAGTGTACTCAAAATAAATGAAGCAAAACATATAAAAGAATGCAAGTAAGTCATGTTAAAAGAGTGGAAACATTCACATATGTACACAAGTAAACCCTAAAACGAAAGGCCAAAAGATGCACAAACTTAAACAAGTTACAAACCAAATTAGGACCTATAATCCAACATACAAACACCTCAATATGTCTATAGCATGAATCCGCAAGAATTAGAGGCTCAATTAATGCACAAAAATCATTTACAAAGCAAACTAGCTCACTAACTAGTGTAAACATCACACAAGGATAGTCTAAATTGGAAATTACACAAAAAATGGGAGACATATCCAAAAAATGCCAAATAAATTCCTAGATGACCCCTAAGGTGTTAGGAACTAGGGGTCAAAAGTATGGAGACTAAGTCCAAACAAAACTATGCAAACAGAAGTGAAAACCAAATGGATACCCCAAATGCAAGGGTGAATCGAGGGTCATAAAGACTTGCCTAAAACCCTACCCAAATTTAATCAAAACAGGGGTAAAATGCTCTTGAAAAATCATATAACATGTTATCATCATGCGAAACAAGAATCAGCCATTAACATGAAGAAATGATCAAGAAATAAAATCAAACACATGGAGGTAACAATTTTAATCCATTCAAAATACCTCAAATGTAAAAGTCTATTTTTAATTGAAAAATGACTTATAAAAATAAGTGAAAAATTTGTAAAATAAATTAATACCCTAAACTGTATGGAAATATATTTTGTAAGATTTTTACATTATTTGAGGTATTTTATTTGCATTAAAATCAAACAGAACAATAAAATGCAAAAAAGAAATAAAGAAAAGAAAATAAGAAAATCTGCGTGGCAATTAGCAATTTTGTTCAGTTCATTCTCAATGGGCAAAGAGTTGAGGGGGTGCAAATAGGAACTAAAGCCCATGATCCACAACTCAATTCAGAATTAATGAAACGATTTGTTTCAATGGTAATGTGGCAAGTCAATTAAGGTCAAAGCGTGCTCAGGATGAATACGGACGTTGGATGAGGTTTGGTCAAAAGGTCAAGAGTGACAT